GCCAGTTTCTCCAGGAGAATGCTGTGGGACAAGGTGTCAAAGGCTTACTATTTTTTTCTGTAGTTCACCTGTGGGGAGAACATTATCAGGTCCTGCTGTGAGCAGGTTGCTGCCAGTCCTACAGAATAGCAGGGCCCTAGTGGCATGGGACAGAAGTGAAGGCTAGAGTGTCAGTGCTTCTTTGTGTAGCCACGATCTGTTAAGTCGTACAGAAGATAAGCTTGTAGATAAAAGTAATGTGTCTTAGTGTACCAGTTAATACAGCTGAAAAAAATAGATGAGCTTTTAAGCCAATGAGGAAAAACTAGTGTACTTGAGAGAGTTTATAGGGTTTTTTTTCAGCTCCACCAGTTAATCTAATAAAAGATACTGCCTGGGCCTAGAAAGCTCATCTTATTGTAGGCATTAAATTAACAAGCCACATGGTAATGCAGGGGAGAAGAGTCTTGGAGGGAAAGAAAAAAGGACTGTGATATGAGGCTCAGTTTTTCTACAGACTTTGGTGGCTACAAGGAGTCCCTATTTTCAGCTGTTCCAGGAAGGCACGTAGAGAGCAGCACAGTGCAATGGTGTCACTGCAGGGAGAGGACTAGAGCAGTGAGCAAGATAGGAAAAGACAACAGATGAATTTTGCTGCTTGGCAAGCCTCCCGTGAGGATGTATTCAGCATGACTACAGCTTTCTACAGCAGGATTTGGTCATATTAGATGCTCTGGTATCCTTTCCCATATTAGTTTGCCACTCTTTAGCGAGCACTCTTTGTAATACATACATTTTTATCAGTCTTGGTTTGAGCTGAAACAAGTGTTTCTCTTCTTCTTAGCCATCTGATGAAGATACTATCAGCTTTAATGTTCCAATGTCGGACATCGTAGAAGAAGATCAGGTTGTAAAGGAAGATTCAGGTCACCATGTTAACTCAAGAAAAGGTTGGAATGTAAAAGAAGTGAAAGTTAAATATGAGGAAATTCTATCAATTGTGTATAAGACTAAATTCAATTTGCAAAAATCACAGCCCAACAAGCATCAGTCTTTTACAAAAGCAGAGTCCATTTCTGTAGTTGGACTTAATGCATATGTAAAGCTTTATTATTCAGAGGTAACATTTCCACTGGAAAGAAATAAATCTGTTCAGATTTTGAGAGAAGGTGTAATTTTATCTAAATTTTATTAAAGTAACTTACATTTTTCTAAATTATATATACATACTGATAAACAATGTTTCTCCAAGGTCTGCACATACTAATGATAAGTGGCGGGATGAACTCAGTGAGTTGCATATGGAAGCCACATAAATAGAAGATCAGCCTTTCCCCAGTGTTACATACCCGATGAAATGAACTTGAGATAATCATCAGAATTTAGTAGAATACTAAGTGACATAGTAAAAGCATTACATCCTACCTGCAGTGTTTATTAGCAGACTGGAGAGGGTAAGTTATAGGACCAGACCACTTCAGGCAGAGGAGAAAATTATTACTGCCTCATACTCCTGGAAGCAGTGTACGTAAGCAAGAGATTGGCATAGGCTCTGAAGGCTCTGAATCATTTGGTGTGAGTTTGAGTGTTTGTTATAGTATAAGAACTCTGAAGTTGCATTAAATTACAAGTCACTGGCTGAGACATCTGAATGTCCTAAAATATTCTCTAGCTCTCCAACTGTTCTCGTGCTGGTACTGGCAAGACATACTTGGTGTAGTTCAAAACTGACTCCATCAATGCCTGTTGTGATGCCTCTGATCTCCAGCTGTATGAGCCCAGGGTTTTGATTTATTACAACTTCGAAATGAATTGGCATCACTCATTAAAATGCAAAAGTCTTAACTTGTTTGAAGTTTTTAATATGCTTTGAAGTTAAACTTTGGTTTTGAGCTCTATAATTTAATACACTTATGTTGAGTGACAAGTGTTGAGCTGAACCAGAAATCATTCCTCTGTCTTTTTTTATTGTTGTTATTAGTGGAATTCCATCAGGGATCTTCTCACTTGATTGTCAATGATAAGTCAAGAGAAACAGGAAACCAGTTTGATGAATCGGATACCCTTACTACTGAATTTATGAGTTACATTAAGGTGAGTTTGTGACAGTTTTAATTTGGGGGGAAATATCTTCGCTACTTTTGTTAGTATAGAGCAAACAGGAATGACAAACTGCAGACATTGTAATGAATAAGAGACTGCAATTGATATTCATTGTCATAAAAGATACAGAAAGCAAAAATAAGCAGATAAGTTTAAAGTGATTATCAGTAATCTAGGAGGTCAATTTACACATAACTCTCTTCCTAGTATGTGTGAGAGTTATTCTTTAACTATGTTTAAAGCTTTAAGAAAAAATAGCAAGTGCATTCTGTACGATTTGCTTTATATTTTGAATTGAGCAATTTTTGCACTTGTTACATTAGTAAAATGCAAGATGACTTTCAGTGTTAACTGTGATGGTTAAAGTTATGAAATAATGTTACAGTATTAAAATAAATTTTCTTAAATGTTTTAAAATTATAGTAGAAATTGAGAGATCTGTAAAGACGAATGATATCAAATCTAAAATAAAATCTATTACTCTAGGAACCTACCTTTTACAAGATTTGGCAACTTCCTTTCTTGATAGATTTTGGGATTATACCCTGACTCTGTTATGAACTTTGTAGATGCTGTAGCTGATAGGAAAGTACATTTGAATAATTGTGTATATGTAATGAAGTATGTAAGAAAACACAGGTTATCCACAATACGAAAGTTTGAGATCATACCCATCAGTCTTTTTTGTATGTAAAGGTCTGGGTACCGTTTTAGTTTCCATAAGATGTTCATTACTGAACACTGGTGCTCTGGATTGCTGGTTACACATCATAGGTAGTTGCTTAATCTATGTGAAAGTATTAATCTTGTCTTTCTGTCATGATAATGAGTACTTGCTTATCAGTCATGTGGTATCTTCCTGGCATGTGGCTTCTTGTTGGGGAACTGTCAAACATGCTTTCTTTTTGAACTCTTTTTCATAACGAATGATCTTTTAAAAATTGTACTGTTGTGCCTTTTTGTCTAGTTTAAGTTGTATTTTCCCCATTCGTATTGTCATTTACTGATTTTTTTCTATTTATGGTGTTAGGTTTAGTGGAACATGTCTAGACATACGTGTTTTGAGAAAGCTGCAATAGAATCCATAGAAATGTACTATGAATCATTAGTGATTGCTGTTGTGTGGTAACTCATGAAATTCACTTGCTTTATTATATAGCAAGAACTGCCTGATGGATCTATAAATTAAATGTAGCTAGGTAGACTGAGGATTTTTTGCAAGATTCTAGAGAAATTTTGAGCAAGTGTGTTTGGGGTTTTTTCTGTGAAAATTTATTTGCTGGATACTTTTGCTAGATCCTTTGTAATGCAAAGATATTTGAGAAATAATAGTATTTTGTAGCATTTCTGTGGACGTGATGTCTCCTCTTGACTTAGAGGCCAAAAGAGATTATCTGGTATGGATATTTTTAGACTAATTTTCTCCTTCTGTGGAGATTCTTAAGTGGTGTGAAGAGACACTGTGTTTTGTTACTTACAAATGTGAATTCAGTAGTGTTGATTGTTAGGAAGAGTTATTTATAGTTGGTGGATGTTTAGGACACTACAGGTTATCTTATAGTGGCTTGTTCTTTTGTGACTTCTATGCTAAAAAAAGATTGAGGGATGGTTTTTTTAGACAGTTAAAATGTTACCATTAGTAGTATTTTTAAATAGTTAATATGTTAACACATGATTGTAGATTTCCTGCATACAAATTTTCAGCAAGTGCACACGTTTGAGGTGAATAAACTAGGTAAAAGGGGATAGAATACTTTCATGCTCCCCTGACAAAGGGGTACACGCATCTGAAGCTGACTGTGCATTATATTATGTATATACTTTGTATTTTCTTTCCTTGTTCTTCTCACTTCATCATCTTGATTTTCAGCAGTGTACCATTTGAAGACTCTTCGGTTGGGAATGTCCTCTATCATAATAAGACAATATTATCTGAAATAGTGTGTTGCAGACAGTGGTTCAGGAAATACAGGTTACTTTATTGAATTTCAGTATAAGAATATTGCTAGAGTGAGCAATTTACTTTCTTTTAATTTTGATATCATCTTTACATTATGGCAGTTGAGATCAGCAGCTGTTGACTTGAACAGGTAGTACATGCATTTTATTCTGAGGATTTTGAACTCAGGGCATTTTCCTCCTTGTGTGCATTTCTGAGTCTGTGTGGTTTTTGGGTTATATTTAGTCATGTACTAGAATGCCTTTTGGGACAGCGGGCGTCTTCTAAAATTGAAATTCTGGTTAACCAAACCATATATAAAATCAGTACAACTTGCAGTGCAAGAGGAGCTTAGACTTGGAGGAGTTTGTAATTTTTCAAATGTTAGTCCTAATTTTTATGAATTTATCGTATCTATACAATTTTGCCCCAAGACTGAGAATCACCTTCCAGTATAACGGCTGCATTTTTGTCATCTCATGATATGTGCCCTTCTTACAGGAAAAATCACATGCTCATTCCTGTAAGGAGAAAAAAGAATGTCTTTATTCATTCTGCTGGGGAATGGGCCATCTTTGGGGAATGTTAGAGAAACTGGTACACTCTTCAGTGACACATCTGGCAGAGTTGGATGGTGTTTATTGGTACAGTGTGATGCGACTGATGTGCCAAACGCATGACACAAAAGAGGATAAGCCTCTCTGTTTTCTGCTGTTCATTCTCTATTAGCACAAATGCACGTTCATTCAGAAAGCTTCTGTCTTTACTGGCAACTGAACTATTTCAGTGTTCCTGCCTATCTGAGATGAAAGAGAAAAGAAAATTGCAAAGCACCAAATGGAGGCATAAAAGAAAGTCAAGTTTTCTCATAAGTAGCACTTCATAGTTATAGGTAGGACAGTGGGGGCTCTAAATCTATGCCTGTGCCGAACCCAAAATAACCAGCTGACTGATATGAATTGTTGCACGTGGTTTTTGTTCTGATTCGTTTAAAAAAAATATTCAGAGCTGTTAAAATTGTTGAGTAGAAATCCTGTTAATAATTATGGATAAAGTATGTAATTGCCACTGTTTGCATATTTGGAATTTCCTTACTATGTAAACAAATCTGACTGTGGGAGGAGAGCAAGTAAGAGGAGAGTTAGGGTCGTGCTTAATTGAAGCATTGTTTGCATACACTAGAAAGGCACAACTGAAATCTGGGACATAGAATAAAGAATTCTCATGCTGCTTGGCTTTCTTCTTACAGTTAAAGGAGGGTAAGGTCTGTTGTGACCTCAATAAAATCTGAACAGTGAGTAGAAGATCTTGTAATCAGTATCTTAAAAGGGGGTAGAGTGAGGAGTGGAACAGAAGTGTTGGATTGCTTTGACTGGCCACCCTAAACTGTTACATAAATTAGGTCAGAGCTGAGTCTGAAAGCAAAATTTATCTGCCTACTTAATTGCAAAGTTCAGTTCTCAATATCGCTTTGTCTGCTTACAGAGCAGAGCAGAGTGTGATGAATTATTGAGAATAGAAGAGGACACACAATGGCAGACGGATGAAATGTAAGTATTTTTTATGAATCTATAAGTAATTAGCTGTGTCATTTCATTAGATTGACCAGAATTGGCATTTCCATATCAGTTAATAATTCTGTAGCCTTGGAGGCATGACAGAGGCACAGCCTTGCACTTTGTGTGTGCTTAATATTTTACACATTATTGCAGAATAGAGTGGATGTTGTATTACAACTAATGATACGTATGCACCAATAATGCTGTAATATTTTTACCTATGAGGAGTGCAAGCTTTTTAATTAGGTATTTTGATGTTTAGTCTGTTAATGGCATTGGTAAAAAAGGATCTTTGTAAGATCTAAATTTAATGTACATTTTAAAAATGTAATTTAATTGGAAAAAAATCCCTCAGTCTTTTTTCTTCTTTTGTTATAATTTTAACCCTGAAGCAATCATTAATTCATAGACATTAATTCAGGAGCAGAGCAAGTGAACATCAGTAGCTGAGGAGAGTGCATAAGAAAGGAGGATTTAGCATGTCTGTACTGTAAAGTTGTCACTCTTCAGAATAGTGGAGTCATACAGGATTTAAGAACAAAAACTGAAGGAAGGGAAGAATAGGTACTTTGTAAAAGAGCCTTGTAAAAGGCAAAAGTAACCGGTGATTGTGTTTCTAAACCCCAAAAACAATTACAAATGTTGAAAAGCAAAAGAAAGCATGCCGGTCCATTAAAAGACTCACTGTATTTAGTACTTGTGTTAATGTATGTGATGAGTGCAGTTAATAGATAAATTTTCAATTTTAGAAGTCAGTCTGTTTAATTGAATCCTAAAAGTTTTAGTTCATCGCATTTGTTTATGTATGTTTGTATTAGACCTGGGGGCCTTTGTTAAGGACCAAGTGCTGGAGAATTTTTTCAGAAGAAACCCTTTCCATAAATCCAGCACGTACTACTGTGCACAGAGGCTGTTTTTTCCCCTCTATAGTGTTTGCATGCCAGTTGGAAGATATAGTTCACAAATTGAAATTCAGACTCCCCTTGATAATTGCTGTTGTACATCTGTTTTTTTGAATGCTTTTGTTTTCTGTTATAGAATAAGTTTATCAGAAGAGCAAACTATTGATATAGCAATGATAGAACAACTAAGAGAAGCAGTAGATTTATTACAGGATCCCAACAGGTATGCTTACAATAGCTGATGTGCTAATGTAAAGTATAAAAAATTTTTCTGAATGACTTTAGAGTTCTTTTTTAACCGATAATTGAAAGGTCTCTGGAGTTACAAAGTGCTTTGTTAGCATATTGATGTTTTTCAGGAGGCACTTAGATAGTTAAGAAGGAAACTTGCATTTTTCTCTCAGTATCTAGACAAGATTGCCAGTAAATTAAGAAGGATTTCAGGTTTAAAAGAAACCTAAATTTAGAGGTGGAGACACCTCTTAACCATTCATTTCATGTACATTACTGTCATTTTCTGAAGTTTTGTCTAGGACAGTCACATTTCTTCTAGGGACTATAAACTCTACTTATTAATGCTTGGTGTATTTTGTGGGGATTGGAGAAGGTCTTCTGGCTCAGCTTCATCCCACCTCAATGGAGCACATAAAGGAGGTGCCTGAATTAGTAGTGGAGCTTCTGTAGTGTCCCTATGAAATCAAAAGGAGGAAGAGGCAGCTAAAGAAAGTGATTTAGATTTCCCCTGACTACAGAAGGCAAGGTTTTATAATTTAGGTGCCTGTTGTCAGTGGCTAAAGTCAGGTGGAATGACTCCAGATTTCTGAATAAACAAAGGAATAAATATTTAAAAGAAAAATAAATGCTTGTCCTACTGAAAAGGACCGACGAGAGTGGTGTAGGTAGTTCTGTCCAGATGCTTGCTATTGCTTTTCTTTGTGTAATCACCTTCAGAAATTGATTAAGTTCATTTCAAAACTATTTAACTCATTTTTCATTACTTCTATGACGTAGCTGGTCTAGAGCTTAATTTCTCTGAAAACTAGAAACTTCCTTGTCACTTCCAGCCTAAAGTATCCTTGTTTCTCCTTCCTTCCTTGGCCAGTTCACCAAGCTGTTTGTTCTGGCAACTACACTGTTCTTTAGTTTAAATGCCTATTCTGATACTGCTTTTTCACCTAGAAGGCCTCTGTACTTTTAGGACAGAAATTCACTCCTGTTAGTATTTCCAGAGAGACAATTACCTGGCTTTATTTTTGAATCGTATAAAGAATACTTGAATTCTTGAATCATATATTAAATACTTGAATCACAAGTATTTTTGGTTAATAAAAAGTCATACAAATTAGTAAAGCTTTTTAGTTCCTGTTATTTCTGTGACGCTTATTACTTTAGGGGAGAAGTGTTGCAATTAAAAAAGGAAAAAAGTCTGGTTTGGGAAAAAAGCGACATTAAAAAAATTTCAGTTGCTGGCCTTATAACTTTTTTAATTTTGGCTTTTGTCAAATATTGCCCCAATATTTCCTACATATTTAGTTTTTCTCATTAAATTAAAAAGGGCAATAAAATACAGAAAATTAATCTGTTTCTCCATGCATATTCAGATGTGCTTTTATTAGTAACACTATATTAAATTGGAAATGTGGCTTTTTAAAAATCATATCATGCATGTCTTTTTTACTTTTTTTATGCAGTGTTGTGGGGGTTTTTTTTGTGGCTGCACTTTCTTTTTCTAACCTTAAAATATGAATTTTTATTTCTGATTTACTGAGCGCTATATTAGCTTTTCAATGTATGTCTCCTGTATGTTAACATAGAGACTTGCCCCGCAAGATACGCCTGGGTGCTTAATACTTGCCAAATGGTGCTGCAGACTTCCAATCCTTTGGGCCATGGGTTTCTCATCATTGCTTTTATAATTACTGGATTACAAAGCAGTTTGTTGTATACTTGCATTATATAAAGCAGTGTGAGAAAATGTTGGTTTTCATACTGAATAGTTTTTGTGTCTTTGTCCAGATCCACAAAGGAATGTAAATGCTTCCATTGCTCCTTAGTTTAAGATGTACAAAAGCCTTCATGTGCTTTTAATTTAAACCTAGATCATGTCAAAAATTATAACTTTCCCCAAAGAGGTTTCCTTTGTGCATCAGTATAACTCAGATCACCTAGTCAGAATGACCTAGTTGAAATAACTATAGCCAGAATTATCCTTATCTCATGCTGAAGGCCATTTAGGAGTTAGAAGGAGAAGCTACTGTAGACACTGAACCAGCAGGTGATGCTGACATGCCTGGCATGCACTCACTAGAGTTCAGCGTAGAGCGTATCAATTGGAGCTATTTTTGTCAACGGATGTGGCTATTAACCTTGTAAAATGCTTGTCCAGTTACTGTTGCCCAGTGTTCTGCAGAGTTTCCAATGTGCATACCCTGTGTGCACATAAGCAGCATTTCAGTTCTGGACAGGAAAAAGATGTCAGACTCAACCTTTTTCAGTATTTTCAGATTCCTATATTCTCTTTCCTATATTCACTGCTTGCTTTCAGATCATTGTCTGTTGTGAACTTACTGTTGCACTGCTTTATTTTCATCCACTTTAATTTAAATTTGAAGATCTAACCAGAGCTGTGGCTTCTGTTTGAACACAGGGTGCTAGAAGTTGGATACAGAAATCTGTAATCTTCTAGATAATGACATGGTCGTTGGTAGTAAACAGGTCCTTTTGTTTTGATACAAGCCATTGCTCAGGGTGACATTTTGCAGAGGGAAGAAAGCATTAACGTTGCTTTGACTGAACTGGTGATAGTGAAGCATCAGGAGGCGTTTCAAAAAGTTAAGAGATAACGCTGAGCAGATTAGAACCATGATTATAAAAGTATTTCATATATCCATTTCTTTTAAATTAAATATGGAACAGAATGATTACCAAACCTATACCCCAGTGCAATGTTTTTATTTCAAACCTTGCAGATTAAGCATGGATATTTCAGAGAGCAGTGGTGTGAATCTGTGTCCCATGGAACCAGCAACAGCTTTAGAATTTCAGGAGTCTACAGTAAAGTGTGTTTATCTACCTTTTTTAGAAAACAATAATGCATTTGTTAGATTCATCATATTCAAGTTTCTACACAATGAATTACATATTTACATTTGTTTATCTTTATACATAGCAGTCAAATGCAGATGGAGACGTCTTCCCTTGGTCAGGTACGTTAAGGAGTGTATTGTTAAAAAATACTTGGGGGGTGGAGGGCGACAGGAGAGGAGCCAACAATTTCATCATTAATTAATCTACCAAGTAGGGAAGGGAAAATTTAGTAGGTTGGAAGACAAAACTAATCCTTTAATATTTTTATGGAATTGTATTTATATGTGTATATATAAAATTTTTCTGGGTTTATCGGTTACTTTTTCATCTTATTTTTCCCCACCCTGTGTGCGGCTTTCATGTATGCTGGTTCATAGTTAAGCTATGCATATTCCTCTACTATCCCACCTCCCCTATCTCCCTGTTCTGGTGTAGCAAAAGAGTACATTCATTAAGAATAATCAAAAAATATTTTGTAGGCTAACAATGTTTTTCCAGGCCACTGTCACTATAGTTACAGAGCCTATATAAAGTATGGTATGTGGTTTTATAGTGTGATATATGCTGCTTATTATTTGATCTGTATCCTGACCGGTGAACTGGTATTCTTTATGATGTATTATGTTTAGATTTACATTATCTGCTTGTTAGCATTGGAACTGCAAACATATAGTATCTGCTTACGTTCACTTTTCATCAAAGTATTTGTAAGAAATACTTCTGAGGTAATGTTATGCAAAAAAAAGATACAGTTCTATTTCCAGTGATAGTCTAAAGAGTTATTTATCTTACAGAGAGAAAATGCTGAAGAGGAACTAGAATTCCAGAGGAGGAGGGAGTTGATTATGGAGAAAGCAAAGCCTGAAGTGAGAACTTGTGAGCAGGGTGAAAAATGGTTATTGAGTCAGGTATGGAGGTGTCTAGATGCAATAAGTGTGGAAATGTTTGGAATAGATCATTGCATTCTGTCAGTTTGTGTGTGGAGATAATATTGGGTCTAGGTCATTGAGTTTGGGTTTGTTTTGGGTTTTTTTGCCTTAGCATGAATCTCAAGGTTTGGCTGTAAATAGGAAGTTGATTGAGCTATCTCTTGGGGGAGAAAACTGATATAATGAAATTAATAAAAGTCTTTTATTCCAGTAAACGCTATAGTAGCTGCAATGGTTGCATTCCCCTGGAAAAAATGTCACCTCAAAATCAGATCTTCAATAAAATGAAACACCTGGTTCCTCTTTCCCCTCACCCCAAATACTTTCGTAGTTATATAAGCTGCTAAGATTTTGTTAACAGCAGTATTTTTAATGTGCTGAATATTACAAACAGACTGTTTACAGGTTGAGATGACAATTTTAAAGTTTCAAAAATATTTTAAGTTTTGTGTACATTGCAATGATCCAGAAATTAAGAACTATGAAAAAAATCTAATTTAAATATTTAGTGCATATGTTATTACTTCAGAACTTGTTTGTATAGGGATTTTTGTGACTGCTCTTGCAAGAAGATTCTGAGAAAAAAATTACATAATGTTCTGTCTACATTAGTAGTACCTGAATACGGTCTATCTTATCCAGACATAGATTGCAGCTGGTTTATCCTGGTGCTTTTCAAATATTCTTGAGTATGATCATCATTACTGTCAAATATTCCTTTGATATGCTTGTGACTTTTAGTCTTAATTTTGTCTTTGTTTTTTCTTTAAAATATCAAATTCAGAAACATTGAGTTGGTTCATCTCTTTTGTTACATTGTTGTATGTTGGGGTTATTGCAGTTTATTTGGAACAGTTCTTATTACATTGCTGAGATTAACAGATAAGGCTAATTCACTGTCAAAATGTGTGTGGTCTCTGTATTGCGATGAACTGTTTAACAAGGACACTGCTGAATTTACTCTTAAGAACCTTTTAAAAAGAAGAAATAAATCTTCCTGAACACTTGTTGGACTGTGTATGCAGGTGAAAGCACAAGGCACGTTCCATGAAATGGTAACATATCTTGCAAGAGCAAATTTTTAATCATGCTACATTCTGTGTAGTACAGTAAGCACTTGTGTTACTACTCTTAATTCAATATTAATATTATTTACTAAATAATTAGTAAATTATTACTAAATTAATTCAATTTAGTATAAATTCAAAATTCTGACTAGTGACCTGCATCCTGTGAAAGAGATTAGACCTGCAACATAGGCATAACTAGTAGGTCTGTCACAAGAACATAGTCCCTGAGCACAGGAGCGCTCAAGCATGCAAGTCCCCAGGTAGAACTGCCTGGGATCAGATGAGTAAGATTTCTTTCTGTTTATTCTACGTAATAAAGTGGTTGAGGTAATATTATGAAAGATGTCTAAAGCTGAGGAATTTTTTTAAGCTTGAGAAGTAGCCAAGAAAGGTCATGAAGCAAAATGGGTGTGTAATCTTCCTTCCCATCTTGCTAACCTTTGGAAAGCTCTGTGACTGTTGGGACCAAGTGTTCCAAGTGCCGTCTTTTATTTTTGTTTCCATTTTTGGCCATAAGGAAATGATTTTTGAATTGAGTTATAATTTGTTTTTAATTATGCCAGCTGTGTTTCTGCAGCATTATGACTGATGCAGGATTAATGATTGTATTTAGTATTTATTAATGTGGCTTACATGTTTCTAGCTTAACTAAAGCAGAAGTGGTAACAAAAAGTATGTTATATTGCAATTATAAAATGAATTGCTTATGGAATACTCTTCAAATCTATATTAAAAATCTGTATTCACCTATTAAACTCTTGGCAATGGTTTAATTACAAAATTGGATACTGCATTTGAACGAACAAACATTAAAATCTTATAAATGCAGTTATAATCACTTAGGATTGAAACTAAAAAATGAATGACAAATCTGTGCAAATGATTTCCACAAGTTTTTTTAAAATGTTGTTCAACTAGCCATAAAAGTATTTATTATTCATGAAAATGAATTGTTTCAGTGAAAAAAAGAATTAAGTATTAATGTGTATCTGAGTATCATGAGTAAAATATCCTGTTGTAGTGCATCAGTAATATAGTTGCTGAAATGATCTGGTTTTTTTCCCTTTCCAAACACGCAGAATGATCTAATTGTTTGGAATACAAGTGGGCAAACCTCTCACAATGAGGTAAGATGCTAGTGCCATTTGTTTCTGTCTCATTTGTTCTATATGAATGGTTCATATACTAAATGAAACACGTAATAGAATATCACAGAAAATATGACTGAGCTCATCAGTAATGGGTATGTGGTTTATTTGATGTGGTTTAGTCTTGTTGTCTTAGAGGATTTACTAGGGTATAAAAATATACTTTCTGATAAGCTTGTTTCTGAGTTCCGTAGTTTGGTATAACACATTGTATTTATTTTTTTTACATTTTGTTCTTTCTGCCACATTTTCTTTTTTGACTCTTCCTTGTTCCACAACAGGTTCTGTTGATTTCAGTGCAATTTCTTTTTGCACAGTTGTGTCATGTCCTTGTGATTAGTTTTCAGAGGAATCTGATTTTATTGATCCTATTGTTTTCACACTGTGAATCTCAGCAGAAGGTTAAAAAGGGAAACTGTAGGGAGTTCCTTATGGAGATTTTCTGTGCAGAAACAGGGCTTCTCCCTCTACATTGCACCATGTAAAGCACCTTCAAATTTATGAGCACCCAGCCACCTTCCACCAGTCCTGGTGATGGGACTCCCATAGTTCCTGGTTCCCCAAGGAATCACTTTTTAAATAGGATTCCCATTATGGATTTTGGTTATAGGACTTTTTCTATGTTACCATTGGTGGTATGATGGTAATACCTCACCTTCTCCTGTATGCTGCTAGTCCATTCTTCCTGCTGCAACTGTTGGCCTAGTGCAGGGTCAAGGGCAGTCCTGCTCTGAGGTGTATGCTTAACTTCCTCTTTTCTGCTTTTTAGGCAGAAACTTGGTGTTGCATGGAGAATACCATGCAGAATGGTAATTAATTCCATGAAAGAAATAAACTATCTAAGACAAAACATGTCTTTTCTTTGTTTTTCTAAATGTACTATGCCACAAAAATGTATGTTTGATGGAAGCAAGTGATTACGTGGGAGAAACCTGAGAAATAACTGAGCTTCCTTATACCTTGGGGGAATATCCTGCAGTCTTTGGTCAGAAACTTGTCTTTTCCAGAAAAGGAATAGGACGGAATAAAAAAGGGAGATTATCATAGGTTTGAGGCTATATTGTGATCAGGTTATGGTGAAGTAGTTGTAGCGTGCAAATATTGTAACTTTTGCATTTTATACAGTCAGTTATGCTGAGATATTCTGGATGTTACTCTTACTTAGATTTATCTTCTTGAATTACACAGAACAAGGATAAAAGTCCGACAGTGTCTCCTACTACAAACACCACAATCCCTTTTGGCCTGAAGCCACGATCAGGTAATGTGGGAAAGAAAATTAACCAGTTTGTGTGTACTTTTTATTTTTACATCTGTGTTTATTAATACATGTCTGTATTTTTTTCCCTTAAGAAGGCAGTGATGAAACATTTTCTGTACAACAGTTAGAAGACAGTTAGAACACTTTATAGGTTTGAATCAAGATTGAATTTGTAACAAGTATGTATTTGGTACATTATACATGGATCAGTTTTCATCTCTTACTAATAAATTCTTTTATAAAATAATACATATGTACTTTTCAAAAATATGGGGGTATGTATATAAATACACATATTTTATATGTATATGCATATATATCATCTGTGCTGACATACTGATTGAAGTATGATTTTTGCTCAACTGGTATGTAGTTTAGATTTTGTTGAATAATATATGTGGGTAATTTAGCTTGTTTGGACAATGCTTATGCATTGCTCTGAAAATTGCTCATTGCAGTGAGTCTTTCAGTAGTTATGCTTGTGTAAGGATCAAGCGTTACAGGAAGATTGGATGTTTACTTCAGACAGCAGCTGAGTTTAATGAATTTGCAATGCATTAAATCTGCATAACTGTCAATCTTTTATCAAGCAACAGTTTGTGTATTAAATAAAAGCAACCCAAAAAACCCTTATAGATGTATTTGAGGGCTTGAATAACAGCTTCCCTTAAAAACAGGATGAGCCACAGGATTAAACTCAGGTTTTATCTTCTCTGTGCTGAGGTAGTGAATATTAAGTCATCTCACATCACCTCTAAAGAATAACTGCAGGTTTTACAGTATATTTCAGTGTCATAAGACTGTAATTCTGGTTTCTTGCATTTACCACAAATGCTTTTAATCAAATGCTGGTAAACCACTACAAGCTTGTAGTTTCCATAACAAAATATCTTGGCAATAATGGCAGCAGTTTCACATTTGAATGTTTAAGAAATTGTACCCATAGATTTGTTGTTTGTTTTTTTTTTTAAAAAAAAAAGGGTTTAAAAAGCAAAGAAAATGGTGTGGAACCACCCTTTTTTCCTGTAAAGGCTATTTTAAATTTCTCATGTAGTTACGATATACAGTTTGACATATCTGTTCAGTTGCATTTCTCAGTTTTTTTGGACTGTTAAATTCTGGCTGTATACTTGTATGTCCCTGATACTTTAGAGATGTTGTTATTTATCTATATATTTAAAGTATGGGTTAAATGATGAGCAAATGCATCCTTCAGGATTTGGAAAAAAATAAAACATTGACTAATTTTGCACAGACCAGTGGTAACATTATAACAACACCGTTAGGGGAAAGCCAGGTGAGGGCAAACGGGCCCATGCCGTGTTGCTGCTTTCACAGGATGTAGCCTGTGTTCTGCTGAGCTGCCAGTGAATTCTGCTGCCAGGAACTGGAAGCAGCATTGTGGGAGACAAGACAAGACCGTGACTCCTTGTACAAGTGCTACTTTAACATGCATTTCCAGATCTTGGTATATCAGTATGCCAAGATGTCCTATACTTAATGACTGTAATTGATCAGGGCAAAATAGGCTAGGGAATCTTTTTTTAGAGGATTTCTAGAAAGCCTAGATTGCAATGGTTGCAGTCCTTTGCAACAAATCGTACCATGATGGAAGTCCAGATGTGCACAACTCCTACAGTTCTTCCTCTGTCTATATTGCTGTTGTGTATAGCATTATTAAATACCAAAGTCAGTTGGTTATAATCTGTTGATTTTCTGCACTGTAGCAATTCAAATTCATATATTTGAATTGCTTTGAGTATGCCGATACTACAGTGACTTCTCGTCACAGCTATGGGTTGCAGAAAACTTGATAATATGAATTTATTTTCGTTTCTATATCATACAGTATGGTCACCAACCTAGAGCCATCACTGCACAGTCTTTCACCTCATCACATCCAGTTTCAGTCAAGTTATCTTAAATTTATACCGTGGTAAGGCAGGGGAATTTGGCAGCAGTAAAACTTTAGGTCCAGCTTCAGATAAAAAGACTGTATATTAGCTCTGTAGCACAATGTAACAAAATGAAACCTTGCAAAGAAGTAGTGAAGCTGCATATTGTTTCCTCTCCTACTCCTACCCTAGAACACTACTAAAAGTAGTATTAAAATTTCTTTTGCTAACATATATACTGAAAGTACTGGCATATTTGCAAATCCTGCATGTTTTTCCTGTTAAAGCTGGTTAGCTTGCCATGACTCTAGTTTCTTCACTGTATTTCCTTTAAAACTTTGTGCAAGTTTTGTGAGTTGGAACCATCCTATCACAGTCTGAATTTCTGCTGGTTAATTATATACTGCTTTATTGCCCTAAAGCTGAACTAGTGTAGGGGTCTAGCAATTCTATGGTCCAGGAAAGTTTTTTCAGGTCAGTTTGTAGTTTAATAGCTTTTTTCATTTAAATTCTTCATGGCCTTAGGGGAAACCTTAAAACTCGTTGGAAATGAGTTTTAGCTATTTAATTTCATTAGAGCTTACACTTGAGTTATTTCTGTAAATCTTCTAAATCTGAGTGCAAGATTAAAAGAACATTCAGATGTTCTAACTAAAATGTGTATATTGTGCTCTGTGGAACACAGTGGCAAATAGTCAGTGAAAATATATGCAACCATACCTCTTCTGAAATTGGAGAGTTTATTTTCACTGTGTTTATTTTCATCTATTTTAAATGAATGCTGCTTTCTATTTGACTTCCCCCCCACCACCACCACCCTTCGTTTCATAATGATTTATGTCTCTTGGAAAGATGAAAGTAAACTGTTCTAGACTTCTGGTAAGGATTCCAGTTTTTTGAAGTACACACACAAATGGAAGTGCTTCCAGAGGATAAACCACAGTGGCGTAAACTTATGTGTTAGTACATACTGATATGTGTTCAGGACTGAAGGCATTTTTATTTTTTGCTTCAAAGCTAGGCAAAACATTGGGAAAACTTCTATCTGATGACTGACATGGTACCCAAAGAAAATGTTTTGAAAGGTAATGGATGCATTTTGACTTCTTGATAGATTATTTTCAAGGGTCAGATGTTTACATAGAAGGTAAAACCAGGATTTTTAAAATTTTTTCAGTATTTCCTCCTGTATTTTAAGTACTTTCATACAGTATGGGCTTCTCAAATTTGCATTAATTTTGAAAACCTGAAAAAAATTACAATCATGACAAGTTTTCTTCAAACCATAGTTTTGCTCTTGGGAAGTGCTTTGGCTCTCTGAAAAGCAATCACTCAAAATAGTTAAAAATTTAAACTCTTTGTGCTTGATTAATGAATTGATTATAATGTTCAGAGTGCTGCTAACTGTTGAAACTGAGTGTTGCAAAGTTCTTGCCACGGTATCTTTAATATGCCAGACCTTGAAGCCTGAACATCTGCTAATACATCTTGCAGTACTCAAGAATATTTTTTGGTTTTGTTCTGTGCCATTTTGAGGCCACTGTGTTTCATAGTTTCTGCTCAACAAAGTGACAGCAACACAGACAAACAAAAAAATTTGTACCTTCAGAGGCTAAAAGAAGCGCTGACAAAACTCGGAATCACAAAGCAGTTGGTACTGTGAAGTGAAAAATTGTTCCATTGCAACTGTTTCCTTAGCATAATCTTGCTTGTGAATCCAGTGTCTTTATTTTGATAACTTGTAGAGGATATGAAGCACAATGTTAGTGTTTGTGGACGTGCTTGCCTCACTGTCTTTCAAGCTTGTTGGAATGCAGAATGATCATTAGAGCTTGACAGGGTTTTTTCTTTCTTTTGAGTGCTAGTTACTGTTTTTCTAATCTCTGGATAGTTATTTCTTCCATTTGTTTTGTTCCCTAACTGCATTATTTGTGTACTTTGGAAAATAATGAGAATTCTAATTGCCAGCATAATTACAGACTGTTTATCCTTTGCCATAAATCTATATTCTGTTACCTGGTGTTGACTGCTCAGAGTTTAAGTTGTGCTGACTCTGAGGTTCAGCTGATCTGGTGCCCCAATAGGCAGAAACAGTAAACTGGCTTTGGGAAAAGGCATGCCTGAAGAGAACGGGCTTTTGAACAGTTGAGTATGAAGAGAAGTTAAGGTGAAGTTTTATACAACACTGGCTGAATTATCATCAGGTTAATACAGATTCCAGAATTGTGGGAAGGAGAAAGTCTATGTGATTAAGTTCCTTATGATTATTAATTTGGAATGGTATAAAATAGGGACATTCTGTGCTTACTGAAACTTTATCTTGGACTTTCTTCTAATATTAAATGGTTTTAGCAGCTTTTTGATCTACACAGTAATTTTAAATTGATTTAGATTTATGGTCTAGCATTTAGAGTAGAGGTAGTTTATAATCTTCAGTTTAGTTTGAGGAGCATGAATGTTGCTTGTGTGTGGGATTCAGTAGATAAAACATGGAAATGTATGTTGGAAGTATATGTAGCAAATGAGTGAGTTTGTAATTTTTGTGGCAGAAATGGTAAGGAACATTGTGATCAGATACAGGAAAAACTCATTAAGGAGTGACATCATCGTGAAGGCCAGAGAAGGAGAGAGAGAAATTCTGTGACAGAAAATAGGAAAGTAGTGGGAAGCTTTGAAAGGATGGATGACGTGCTGAAGATACGCAGGCAGGAGATATTTAAAGGATGTCAGTGTCCAGTTCTGAATCACTGTAGAATGGAGCTTTGAGGAAAGCTTGGGTGGAAATCCTTGCCACAATCCAGACAGGAGACAGAAGTGCAGAGTAGATATGGTGGGGACAGAATAAAAATTTCCCTGAAGGATTTGAGGAACAAATAAGAGGTGTGGTCATGACTAGTTGAAGGAGAGAAGGCAGAATGGGTAGAGAATAGGACTGTATTGCTGTACAAGTTTAGCTCCATAGTGAGTTGATGAGTGGTCATGAATTGTAGGCATGACATGCTTTTACACTCATCTGGTGGACAGTCTTCAGCCTCTGTTGCAGCTTCTATGGAAATCTGTGTTTTTGCATGCTTTAGGGAGCCCAGTTGGATCATTACTGATGTG